CTTTGAGCAGCTGACATACTCTTGCTTGTCGTCACATTGCAAGTGACAGGAATAGTTGATGTGGCGAGATTTCGTTGCAGCAGTGATTCTGACTCGTACCCTGGAAAACAGGCATGTACTTCGGGTGCAAGTGGTTGGTCGCCACGCAGCTGTTCGTCACTGGTCCTGAGGACGCAAGCAATAAGTACCAGGTGTGGATCTGTTGACATGCTTAGATGAAGCTTCATGCCTGCCGACATGATCCAGTTGGACTGTGACATGCCCACAAGAAATCGTTTTCCGTCCTTTGCAAAGGCGAAACTTTTTCCTTTGTATTCTCATAGCAAATCCCGCGCTCCCACGAGATGTCTCTGGCCCGCTTTATCGTGGACCAGGAGGGAGCAAGTAGTTAGTGGGCTTCCATTCCAGTGGAAATGTCCCCGACGCTCTTCTACATTGAAGGACCAGCTCTGTCTCTCAGCTCTGTCCAGAATGTGCACTTATCATATCAGGTTCGTATCAAGCTTTGTTCGAGCTTTGGAGACCCTAAACACGATCTCAAGTCTCAGCACCTCGGGTTTAGCGAGGAGAAGATGATTCTGCATCTTATTCTGGCTGCCTTGGTCACCTTCATAGCTGTCGTCGCGATTTGGGAACCTCGCCTGCAAGCGTTTTGCGAAAATGTGTCGGCTGGGCATGTTTTTTTAGAAAACTCGCCGTCGCTGCTAGAATGGTGACATGGACACGGTGCAATACAAGGTCCTTGACAAACTGGCTGATCTGGAAGCCACAGGCGAGGATCTGGATCATGCGATTATACAGGCCTGGCTGCCTGTTCCTTTGCAGTGCCACATGTAGGCAGCTGGCTAATGCGACAGCTCCGTGCATTGCTGCACTTGGCATTGTCAAGCCTCCGCGGTCCCGGGCTGCTCACGTAGAGTAAGCAATGGAGGGTGCCAAGCATGCAACATGCAGCGAGAGGTCATTGGTGGCAACTCCATCCTCGTGGGCTTTGCATGGGATGCCTGGGCCAAATTCCCTAGAGGCTCCAAGCATGTGACAGAAGCGTCGAGTCGTGTTTGAAAGCCTCTCCTCTCCCTTCACGGAACACAGATTGGTGTGAGTCCTTGCAGCTTATGAATTCCGGCACTTGCTTGGTGTAAGAAGTGCATCCGTGACCCGGTGAGAGAGTCAGACGGCACAACAACGCTTGAGCGTTGCATGACCCCAAGCTTGCAGTGGCTTGCGGCAACACTGGGATGGCTTGAAACGGGACCACTAGGCCGAATGCATCTTTGTTGATAAGATCTATGTGCATTTTACAACTTGCGGCATCTTCGACAGAAACATTGCTCGCACAGCCGAGGAACAGTGTTTCGATCGGGCGATAGAGGCTGGGGAACTTGCTGGAGCGGTTCCAGCCGTTGGCAAATTGTCGCTCTTCACAGGTTATAGCAGCGCAGGGCACTTTCTTCCGAGTGCCACCGCTGGCGATGAAACTGGCCCTGGCAGCTGCATGCATCTGAGGCTTGGCATGCAAGACTAAGCTTCGTTCGGCTCCTCTCCTGTCGTAACTCGTTTGACCCGGGTCCCGTTCTACATTGCATTTTGATTTCAAGTCGAAGAGATATCAAGGCTCGATTTGCGACTGCGAATGAGATGTGGTTGCTCATGGCGATAAAGCGTTCGATCCGTCTGCAGAGTTTCAATAGTGGTAGGAGGGATGGGCGAGCTTTGTGGTCATCCGAGTGTCGCAAGCACCTCGTCTACATTCTTTTTGGTCGGCAAATCTGTCAAGTTCCACAGCTCGACCTGCAGAACAGTTTCGCAATGCGAGCTATGGATCCCGCATAGGTTGCTGCATAGTCAAGTCCTAGCGCACTCTCCGCAGCTTTGGGTTTTTCACACCCTGAAGCACATACCCGAGCACGCGTTGAATACGGCAAGCAGAGGTTCTCTCGTCTGGCTCTTGTCTCTGTGGTCATCAGGGTGCATCTTGCAGTGGTTCAAAATGAGACAACGGTCCGATTCAGGAAAATCATGTTGAGTGGCTTCGTCTGCCACGGGCACATAGCCCAAGATCCCACGCGCTAACTTGAGTTTGATAAAGCTAGAAAGTCCGCCCTGTCTCTATCTTTCTCTCTCACTATCTCGGTGTGTGAGGATCAGAGTTGCCGAAAGAGTGTTGAGGTGACCTGCAATAATAGCCCAGGCCGCTGAGAACAGCAAACTTGTCACTGCATTGATGCGAAATCGCGAAACTAAAGAACGTACGGGGCTCACCGGTGTAGCAGTTCCCAGTGCCACTCGAGTTTGATGTTGCCTGCCAGGCTCCTGCTTGCAAACGCGGTTAGTGCGCGCGATCTGCGACGATCCGAGGCATCATTGTTCCAGCGTGGCGTCGATGGATCTTGCCTATGGTCCTGAGAGAGGCCTTTCCCGTGGACAATGCTTCTTGTTTTGGCTGCTGTGTTTTCGAGAACAAGATTGTTAGATGCAGACACAAGTGTGTGCACAGCCTTTGGGCCCATGGCCTCGATTGGCACACTGAGAGCCGATGCAGGGTTGGAAGTTTGGCTTCGTCATTGATGGCAGCGATCCCAAATGGGGATGCTCGCATGCAGGTTCGATTTCTCAAGCCCATGTCAAGCTTGTGCCCTGCTCGAGGAAAAGTCTTCAAAAGCAAGCGATGGCGCTGGCTTATGCATAGAGCTGGCATCCAAGTGATCGGCTGCTTGGCATTGACTGCCACACGAGTTCTCCTCCAGTGTCGCTACGAGAAAGACAGGCTCTGCTGTCGATTCTCTGTACCGGGCAGAGCATAGTTTGCAGCACGTTTGCCCCATGAATTCGAGCTCATGTGATCACTGCTCCCAAACAAAAGTCCATGTGAGTTTTCTTTGCGTTGACCTGAACGGTGTATCTAAGGTTTCAAGAGACCTTCCCTGGTGTCGCAGCAGAAAAGGGCATGGTGCTGAGACCTCCATTCGGAAGTCGAAGTTGAACATCGGGTAATCATGGGTAATCATGTGAACCTTAGGACAAGAACCATGGCATGGCATTCCAGAAGCGTCGACAGGCCTTCGGAATCAGTGCACTTTCCGGAATCTAGTTGATCTTTCTGCAGTATTGAGTTCGCCTCCCCAGCTATCTGCCCTGCGCCTTCGCTTCAGTTTTTGGTGGGTGGCTCATGCTTTGGGTCTTCGAGTGCAGGAAAGAGGAATGTTCAAGATTCTGCAGAAGGAGAAGGCCCTTTCCACCTCAGACGGGTGGCCGGACGACTCCCCTGCTAAGGCCTGGTGAGCCATACTACAGAAGAAAACGGAGACATCACAGAGTTGCTACCTGAGCAGTCCGAAGCCCACAGAGAACTCACGGCCCCGCACAGGAAAATGGATTGAAGTTCGTGTACGGAGGAGGCGGTGAGCAAGATTGCTTGGAGTGTCGGCTTTCCTCTGCACGGCCGAAGGTAGAGACCTGACGCGGCCTTTGCTTCAAGACTTTGAAGACTCCGACTTCTACAGCCTCGACCGGTCTGTCGAAGTCCTGCACAGGCTGGAAGAACCACAGGTCACTGCTTAGACAGGAGAGATCATTAGGCTTCTTTCTGCGCAGGCAACTCCTACACCTGGCAGAAGCCGCCCGTCAGCAAGTTCATGATAGATGTCGCAAGTATGTCGCAGATAAGTTGTGCAGTGCCCCCGCATGGAAAGGAATGAGATGATGCTGTGGCTGCTAGGGCTGCTAGGGAGTCTTCTTGTGCTGCCTCGACGTAGCAACCGTGGCAGTTGCGAAGAGTTGTTGCAGCGGCTGACGGGCATGCATTGCGAAGAACGAAAGAGGCAGACCGGCGTTGCCCTTGGACTGTCCTTACCCAAAACTGGTAAACTGGCAAGTCCTCAGGGCTTCCCTTTTACTTCTGTTCGCTTCACGGTTTGTTAGTATTCAGGTGGAGGCGAGCAACAAGCGCTTGGGGAAGCTTGGCAGAAGTAGCACGCATCCGTGTCAGTGGAAGGCTCTTAACATTCGCACAAGCGCAGGCTTGAACTCTACGAAGGGACCCTGACGGAATGGAATCTTAGGCCTGAGATGAGGCAGCTGACCGAGAAGCATCTTGGCCACATGCGAATCGATCAAGTTGTTCAAAGCCACCAAGATTGTAATTGCCTGAAGCACACCTGGTGGTGTCTGTAGACTATCACGGTACGGAAGCAGAGTTGTGGGTCAAGTTTTAAGAAGAGTGTTTCAGCCAGCCTGCACCGCGGGTGCAGTTTGCAGAAGAAGACATAGAAGGTGACAGGGCCGTGACCCATTCGTTACCGCGCGTCGGTCGGGAGGGAGATTATGGTCAGCCTCCCGCAGCCAAGGATCTCCGACCTTGCCACTCTTGCTGCAGAGGTGGGCATTGGCACCTACCGGCGCAGATAGTTTGGTAAAGGTTGTTCAGCTTGAGCCCATGAGAAGCAAAGTCAAAGTAGCATCGCTCTCTGCTCAGCTTTGGAAAATGAAAGAATTGGCTAAGACTGTAGGGTAAGTCAGGCCGGGGAGAGAAAATTTAATCCTTTGTCCGACGAGAATTGCCGGCAGAGCGTGATGGTAGTTGATAGACGCCGTGTCGGGCAGCAGAGCGCTGCCCAGGATCTGAGGCAGCGTCTTCAATTCATGTATTCTTTTAAGTGTCGTCTTGAGCCGGGTGAATTCCGTTAGCTCGGAGACCGGTCAGGCATCAAGAGAGGTTCTGCTGAGTTGCAAGCCGAACGCCCATCGTGAGACTCGCAGTTGCAAGCCGATGGTGGCAGAAGCTCTTTGAAGTCAGACTCTAGTTACTCACCTTAGCAGGTGAAGTTAGGTGACTCCGCGCACAACAAGCTGCATGGGATCTGGAAACAAGCCAAGCAGAGCGGAAACTATCCCCACCGCAGCTCGTCACCGGAATGCGCCAGCGCAGAGATCAGAAAAGCATGTGCGACGTGATGCTTCAGATTCCCAGCTGATATCCAAATTGACGGCCGCTGTCACAGGAAAAACTCTCCTTGAGAGCTCAAGCTTCTCTTGATGCTCTTGGCAGCTTATGCCCTGACCTCAGCCTGAGGACTCGTGGTGTCTCAGTTTGGCAGAAAACTTCAACAGTCCCAAATAGCAGACGGGATCAGTTCGCTTTCTAGAAGGCCCGGAGACTGTCCGGCGCCTCGATGCTCACGTGAAGACGCTGGCAGATGCCGAGCAGGGCCGTGAGGTCAGGGCTCTGCGATGCCTCAGCGCCTTTGGTCAGGGCACCACGGACTCCAGCATTCTCAGGCAACGCAAAGACCACACATGACCACACATTTTCTTGCCAGGTGCGTGTCTTAGATTTGCGTGCCGGCGATCGCATCTTCGTCAAAGCCGGAGAGGCCTGCAAGCAGCACTCGTGTGTCTTTCGATTTAAGGGTTTGCGGATTGCGTCCCTCCACTTAACCTGGTTTATGGCTGAAGTGAGCCATGGCTCGTCTCTGTTGCTTTCCGTAAACGCCGTAAACTTGGGCTCCTCTGGACAGCAGATGGCCAGCAGGTGGTTCCTGTCGATGGACGAATAGTTGATGGACGTTCTCAAGTAGGCCTGGCCAGCGGGGAGCGACACATGTGCTGGGATCGGAGATTCTCGCGTGACAAGGCATGAGCCACATGACGGGGGAGCCGTTGCCACAGGCAAGCATTGAAGGGAAAGCCACAGAGCGACACATGCCAGTTCGGTCAAGAACATCGGTGGAATGCTGACGATGCATCGACTCCGGTTCAAGCATTTCGAACATAGCGAGGGCGGCGGTTGTGCGTGTGGGTGTGGATGAGGGAGAGAGAGAGAGAGAGAGAGAGAGCCCCATAACACACGGGGGGCCCATGTGGCCGAGGGACCTTAACAGTCCCTCATGCCCGGTGGAAGAAGAGAGAGAGAGAGAGAGAGAGAGAGAGAGAAAAAAAAATTGTTTGCTTTTCAGGGCTAGCTGGCTTGCATGTTTATCTCCACACTCCTCAACAACAACTTTTTGCCTAAGTTTGTAGCCAGTTTCGTACAGGGGGAAACCCCACAAGCCCCTTTTAGGGTGTACCATAGACGGGCCGCTGGAGCCATCCATACACCTACTTTCCAAGCCTCCGCTCTGAGGCATCTTTTCCGCAATACGTACAGAGCCGTCT